AGATGAGGAAGCTGGGGCCCAGGGAGGGTAAATGATGTCCCCAAAGTCACACAGGCAGTAAACAGCTGAGGTAGGTCCACTGACCTAATGTCAGTGACCAGTTAACCAGTGATCAGGTCCACTGACTCCAATGTCAAAGGCTTCTACTGTACCACTTCATGGATCATGCATTTAACTTTTCCTCTCTCAGTTCTCTGGCTCACCCTACCTTGTTCCTTCTCCCCTTTTCCCTCCCACTTTTGCTAGAACCGCAACCACCCAATAACAGGTAAGGGCATTGCCTCATTCGGCAGTTCCAGGTTGCTCCGTTCAAATATCTGAAGGGTTATCTCATGCAAGATGCTTAAGACCTGCTCTCTTTGGCCAGGTAGGACTAAACCAGAAACCACTAAGGGTTGGGAAGTTGTGAAGTCAGTCAGTCAATAAATATTTATTAAGCACTTACTATGTTCCAGGCATTGTGTTAAGTGCTGGGGATACAAAGAAAGGCAAAAGACAGACTCTGTTCTTTGGGAGCCCACAATGTAATGGAGGAGAAAGAATGTAAGTAACTATGTACAAACAAGCTATATGCAGGATAAATAGGAAATAATCAAGAGAGGGGAAGCATTAGAATCAAGAGGGACTGGGGGGGGACTGCAAATTTAGGCTTGATGTCTGGAGAAACTTCCTAAGAGCAAGGATTATAGGATCATAGATGGAAGGGACCTTAGAGGACATTGGGTTCAATTACTTCACTTTATAGATGAGGAAATTTAGATACAGAGAAGGTAAATGATTGCTTAGGGTTACATATGCAGCTAGAAAGTGGTTGGGGTAGAATTTGAACCCATACCTTCCTGACTCTGGGTCCAGAGTTCTATCTAGTTTACCACATTATACATCTGTATTCCTCTTTTGCTTTTCTGTTTCACTCAGAAATCATTTTCTGATTTGTTCACAGTCTTCCAATTTCTTGGTTGTCATGCCTGAGAAATATTTGCTGGATAGTTTTCTATGCAAAAACTAGAACTTCTCTTCCTTATCATCACCACTGTTAGCAAATCATATTTAGTGGAACCCACTGTGAGCAGAACATAATATGAAGGAACTAATACAGAAATCAGTAAAAGGCTTTCATGAAGCTAGAATTCCAAGACAAATGATAATTCTGTACATTCATATGCAAGGAGCAAGATTGAACAACAAACACACAAGAAGCAGTTGTGTTCAAATGCAAATAATAAGGTGTATATGTATACTTTGACACATTTTGCTCATTTTAAAAAAAAGTTTTCTGGCTCTTGCCCAAAGCCCCACGCTTCACTCTCCACCCTCTTTTGTGTAGAAGTTTGAAGGACTGGGAAACAGAAGAAGGGAAATATAGAGAACAATAGGGGAGAGAGTAGTGAAAATATTGCAGCTGAGAGAATGAAAATTGGAACCTTGTGCAGGAGTTTTGTATTAATGGAACCCAAGAAATAACCACAGGGCACGTAAAGGCTGAAACTAGGATGGAATAGCTGGGGTTTTGCTCCATGTTGCTGAAAGGATTTTAATAGTACTTGTGCTATTTCTGAGAATAGAAACAACTGAATTTAATACATAGGTAGAAAGAATAATTAGTTTCAAAGAGAGGTTACCCCCTCCTCACCCCTCACCCACCCAAAGATGAATGGATAGCGCTCCAATCTCACCCTACCTTGCTTCCTTTCCCTGGGCAGCCTCACCAGCATCTGCCTTGTATTATCCATGAGGTCTCTGTCTCTCTTCCCTCAGGACCATGTGTTCTGAGGACTCTTCCTGAGGTCTCCCTCCAAATTAAACTAAATTCATCTTAAAAAGTTGATTTCTAGGTGGCATTGGTGAAGCTTATCCTAAAGCACATATTGTCTTTTCTACCAAAGTCACCAGAATTGCTAGCTTCAGCACAGGAGCAAGTAAAAATGTTGATAATTGGCTGTAGATGAAACAAGTCAGGCTGAGAGGCGTAGAATCTCAGAATTGAAATAGAATGCTGTGACCTTCTAATCTAACTTCTACCCAAATAGTTGTCCCCACTAAAGCATACCCCAAAATGGCATCTATCCTCTGCTTAAAGACCTCCAAGGATGGGAAACCCACAAGCTTTCAAGGGAGCACATTCACAGATTCATAGATAGAGAGTTAAAGGGACTCCAGAGGTCAACTAGTCCAATCCCTTCATTTACAGATGAGGAAACTGGGGCCTAGGTGGATTAAGTAACTTGTACACATGTAGTAAGTCTCAAAAGTGGGATCTTAACCCAGGTCCTCTGACTCTGGAGCCCTTGATTCTTTTGATGTGCCATGCTGCATTCTGCTTTTTGTTACTGTTGTTTAGTCCTTCCAGTCAGGTCCAACTCTTCATGACCCCATTTGGGGTTTTGTTGGCAAAGATACTGGAGTGGTTTAATAGTACTTGTGCTATTTCTGAGAATAGAAACAACTGAATTTAATACATAGGTAGAAAGAATAATTAGAACATTTCCTTCTCCAGGCTCATTTTACAGATGAGGAAACTGAGGCAAACGGGGTTAAGTGACTTGCTCAGGCTCACATAGGTGGTAAGTGTCTGAGGCCAGATTTGAACTCAGGAAGATGAGTCTTCCCGATTCCAAGTCCAGTGCTCTGTGCACTGTGGCGCCACCTAGCTGCATTCTGCTGTAGTACTGCTCAAATCATTCACAAACTTTTCTTGACATCAAGCCTAAATTGCTTCTTGGCTGCTGCTACCCATTGCTCCTGTTTCTATGCCCTGGGGCCAAGGTAAGAGAGCAAATCTAAAGTCTCTTCCACATGCCAGTGCTCCAAATACTTCAACACAGCTATCAGGAATCCCCACATGATGCAATGCTCCCAGATATCCCTGAGTGATTATAGCAAAGAAGAAGAGGAAGAGGAAAAGATATGGTGAGTTACAGAACAGAGAAGGATGCCTCATTGGAGAGGAAGAAAAAAGGTTAAATGCGTGATCCTTAACTGATCTATTAAGGACACAATATAACCCTCCCCCCACTAACATAAAGAAGGACACCTAGATTTGGAGCTAGAGGATCTGAGTTCAAATCCCAGCCTTTGACTGTTTATGTGACTTTGGACTAATCTTTCAACCATACTGGGCTTCAGCTCCCTCAGCTATAAAATGAGGGGTTGGCCTAGATCAGTAGTCTCAGGACCCCTTTAATCTCTTAAATATTATTGAGGACCCTGCCAAATAATTTTTGTTTATGGATATTTACCCTATTAGAAATGAAAACATTTTAGTATTATGAAAACAGTTTTGATCTCAGACCCCTGAAAGGGTCTCAAAGACCCCCGGGGGGCCTCAAACACACTTCTAGCACTGCTGGTCTAGATGGCTTCTAGGATCCCTTTTAGATCTAGCTGTGATCCTATATTTTGACTGTAAATATTGTGACTAGATGCTCTCTCCAGGCCAACTCCATGATTTCCAACCTAGTTATATTGTATTAGGACACTGGATTAGGTAAATACTAGCCCAACTTCTCTTGCTGAGTACATTCTGAGAAAGGGACAGATGAAGCCTGTCCCTCATAAGCATTTTTCATGAATATTGTAATTACAATAACCACTCACATCTTCCCATTGCTTTAAGTTGTACATCGTGCTTTCCTCAAAACAATGCTGAAGTATCACAGAATCACGGAGTTGAAGAGTTGAAAGGGATTTACTTCAGTGGCTATCTAATCCAAACCCATACAGCAAAGGGGTATATAATATGCTCTACATGCAGCTGTCTAGTCTCTTTTTTTTTAGTTTTTTAATTTTTTTTTTAATTTTTAGGCAACTGGGGTTAAGTGACTTGGCTAGGGTCACACAGCTCGTAAGTGTCAAGTGTTTGGTCTGAGGCTGGATTTGAACTCAGGTCCTCCTGACTTCAGGGAGACTATCCACTGTCTAGTCTCTTCCTGAAGACCTCTAAGGAGGGGGACCTCACCACCTGTCACCTGTCAGCCCATGCCACTTTGGAGCAACTCCAATTAGTAAAGAATTTTTACCAACATCAAATCTAAATTTCCGTCTTTGTAACTTTTACTCATCACTTTGGGTTCTGCCCTCTGGGGCCAAATAGAACAAGTGATTCTGCCCCCACATGACAGAGCTTCAAGTACTTGTAGATACCTGTCCCTCCTGAATCTTCTTTTTTTCTAAAAGCTAAAAATTCCTTCAAGCAATCCTCACTTATCACTGGACCATCTTGTAAGCTCTCTTCAGCTTATCAACGCCCTTCTTAAACTCTGATGCCCAGAGCAGAGCATAATATGCTAAACGCGTTTTGATTAGGACAGGGTACAATGGAAGCAATCACCTCTCTATTCCTGAAAAACACACGCTGTTTAATGTCATCTAAGTTCTTCTTACCTTTTTTCAGCTGTCACGTTACACTAATGACTCATATTGAACTTTTAATCTGCTAAAACTCAAAGATCATTTTCAGAACCCTTATCCACCCATGGCTCCCTCATCTTATTCGTGTGATGCTGAAAACACTTTTGCATTTCCCTTTATTGAATTTCATCTTATTATATCCAACACAGTTCGCTAGTAGGTCGAGATCCTTTTAGATCCTTTGGTCATAGAGTGTGTTAGCTGTTCTGGCCAGCTTTGGGTCATCTGCAAATCTGATGAGTGTGCCATCTATACAGGAACCCAGATTTCGAACCCAGGTCCTCTGATTCCAAATGCAGTACTCTTTCCAGGAAAGATGATCCTGGATCGTCGGGTGCAAAGCACATTACGGCTGGGACGAGCACGGAAGACAGCAGGAGCAGTGGAACAAAACGCCCTCCTCCCGCTGGTAGGCATGCATTTTGCTGGTGCGGTTTAGGAGTGGACGCCGGCTTGGGTTGCCAGGGCCCCAAGCGCCGTCGTTGCCGGGTGACGGGTGCGCTGTTTACTTGGTCGCTTAGATCACCGGGGCAGGAGAGAGGGAGGGAGGGAGCTACGCGCTTCCTCAGTCTCAGCCTCGCGCAAGAGCCTCCAAGTGGCCTCGAGGCCTCTCCTCCCCGCAGTCCTCTGCCTGCCTGCTGTCCCTGCGAAAGACCTTCGTTTTCTCCTCGAGACCATGGCCTCCCGCAGCGCGGGCACCCTGCTTACTGGCAACAATGCCACCTACGTGCCGCCCAGCCTCATGCCTGGGTAAGCCAAGGGGCTCTGCGCTTCTCCAGACCCACAGCTGCTAGTATAGAAGTCCTGGGGTGGGTCCTGGGGGCGGGCCTAGGGCAGAGTGATAGGGACAGAAAATCAGAGGCCTCCGGGTAGCAGCCGGCAGAGGGCTGCGCGCCAGGAAGACCGAAGTTCAAATCCTGCCTCTGATGCTTGCTGTGCAAGCAAGGGCAGGCAGGTCTGTTAACATCTCCAAATCTCAGTTTCCTCGTCTGTAAAACGGAGATAGTTACACCTGTCCCAGTACCATCCAGGATTGTTGTGAGATTCGAATGAGATATTGTATGGAATGCTCTTTGTTAAAGCGCCCTATTAATGATGGGGGGTGGGGGGGTAATGGGGGTGGTGGTAGTAGTAGTAGTAATAGTAGTAGTTATCATTATCATCATCATCGTTATTATTATTCAGAACCCACTAGTGACAGGACAGGGAGCTGATTCTCTCAGCCTGCCCCAAGAACTGGAGCCAGGAGGTAGAAAACAAATAGGGTTTCTGGGGCTGGCATCCTAGGGCAACACCAGCCAACTCTTGTTGGGTTGGGAGGGAAGAGTAATTGAAAGAAATCACTTTCAACTGGAAAGAGGTGAGATGGATGGAAAGAGACAAAAAACCTTGCTTGTCCATAGATGGAAAAGGAGCTAATGAGGACCATTCTTCAGAGGACAGATCATTCTCTTTCCCAATCCCAGCTTTCCCATACTTTTTAACCTTGGTTTGTTGTAGTTGTACATTGATCCTTGAGATCTTCTAAGAGTAGGAGGGGCCCCTACCATAACAAACTTGGTCACATTCACATCCTAGACACAGAGAATTATAGGAAACACCAAAATGTTAAAACTGAGGCTGGGGGGGGCGGAGGGGGAGAATCTTAGAAGTTGCCTCATCCAAAATCATTTAATTTACATATGAGGAAACTGAGATCCAGGGAGTAAACACAGAGAGGTGAGGTTTGGTGCAGTAGAGAGACCTATACAGAGGGTGAGGAGTATGGGGTCCTTGTGTACTCGTACCTAGTGTGAACTTTTTTACAGAATTGGACTCAGTCATCCTTAAGAGTCTTGCAAGACTTTACAAGCCTTTTTAGACAAGTGGTCTTCCGTTTATGTGTTAGATTTTTTTTTTAAAGGATCTGCCTACTTTTCTCTCTTTTCCATTTTCACCCAGGCAGGGTTTTATTTCAAACACTTGCCCAGTTCTCATCCTACCTTCCTCCTACTTGCTGTCATGAAAACCTCCTGTTCTAAGGTCAGCCCTGCTGTTCTCACCTACTGCCTTAGCTTAGCATTTCACATCACCAGCCTGTATATGCATCCAGGGACAAAGATCCAAGGACCTCTGGGCCAGAACTGGTCCAAGGATACCATCATGACCTCCAGCCCATTGTAGGCATGACATGACAAAATCTGATTTTATTGAAAAGGGGAAAGAGTAGTATAGAAAGAATGCAGAGTTTGGCGTCAGAGGACTGGGTTCAAATCCTTACTCTGACACTTATTAGCTGTACTTTGGGGCAAATCTCTGAGCCTAAGTTTTCCCTTCTGTGAAAAGAAGTATTTGAAATAGCCTCTGACATCCCTTCCAACTCTAAATCCATGACCCAGTGAATGTCCAGTTAGAGTCTCATGCCATAAACTTAAAATGGAAGGGTCCTCAGAGGCCACCTAGTCCAACGCAGACATTTTACAGATAAAGATCCTGAAGTTCAAAGGGAGGTGAATGACTTGCCCAAGGTCACACAGGCAGTAGGTGGCAGAGTCAAGAAGTTGAACCAGGCCATCTGGTTCCTAATCTACTATACTCTCCTGGAGTTTGGACTTGAACTTGCGGGTGATGGGGAGCCATTGTAGGTTTTTGAAGAAGGGGTGATATGATGAAGATGGTGTTTTAGGAAGATTAATCTGCTAGAAATATGAAGGATAGATTGGAAATGGAAAATTTTCTACTAGAGGCATTAGTAGAAAGCTTTTGAAGTGGTATAGGCATGAAGCTTAACCTAATGGTTTGATCCAGTTCAAGGCAGGTCAAATGACTTGCCCAAAGTCATTGCTCTTTACAATTGCAGCCATTGTTGGGTGCCAAGCAACCATCTTTTGACTCTTACAGGCACACACACTAGCTTCTGGCTTTTCAGGAGTGCTGACTTCCAGACTTAGAGCTACAAAGCAGGCTAGAATTATTGGGGACAGCACAAAGACTGTTTTTTCTCTCTTTGTCCTATTTCCTCTAAAAGGGTAGGGGATAGTGCAGTTCTCAAATTCACCTTAAGAGGTGCATTTCTCAAGTCACTTTCACCTCTGCTCATTCTCTCCTTTTAGATAATTTGTGTAAATTGACAATACCTCTTTACTGCATTCTGGACTTGGGGAGCAACTCCAACTGAATTCAGTTGATCAGTGTGCCAGGTACCATGCTGCCTAGGCACTGGAGATGCCAAGACAACAATCCATGTCCTCCAGTACCTTCTAGAGGAATTATATGGATTGTGCATCAGGATACTGCTCTACTAGGTGCAAATATAGTCCCTTCTGTGGTCGAAGTCCTCATTACCTCTTACCTAGATTATTGCAATAGGTTTCTGATTGGTTTCCTTGCCTCTTGTTTCCTCCCCTTTGCCATACATCCTCCAAACAGTTCTCATATTGATATTTCCAAAGCTCAGTTCTGTCCATCCTATTCCTCTACTAAAGAAATGTCAATAACTCCCCATTACCTTTAGGACCAAATATAAATTTTTCTGTGTGGTAGTTAAAGCCCTTTGTTGCCTGGTTCTAGGCCATCTTTCCAGGCTGCTTATGAATTACTGCTCCTGTCATGATGACCTATTTGCTTTTCCACATATACAACCCACCTCCCACAACTATGGGCCAGCAGAGTGTCTGGCACCCAGTAAATGCTTAAACAAATGCTTTTCATTTATTCATTCCCATCTTCACATCTTTACTCAGGCTGTGACTCATGCCCATGATGCTCCCCCTTCCCTCCCGCCTCTTTGAATCTGTAGGAAGCTCCCTTTACTCAAGTGCTCTGTCATACAAGGAGTCCCACAGTAGAGCTTCTCCCTCCCCCGAAGTTCCTTTGGGTTTATTTTCCATGGATTTTGTATTAGAACCAGATCCTCTGATTCTAGAGGCAGGGCTCTTTCCATTGTACAACACCACCTCCTGCTGAAATCACAGGTCTAGTCCAAAAAACATGTAATTTTTGCTCAAATCTACCTGCATATATATTGTTTTCCCCCAGCAGAAGGTAAGTTTTTTGAAGATAGGGATTCTTTTGTTTTTTGTCCTTGTATCCCAGCACCTAGAATAGCGCTTTATAAAAGGGACAGAATAGGGACTTGACACCATTTCACTGATAAAGAACTCCAAACCCCCTCTACCTGTGCAGGTTGGGACTCTCTCTGGCATGTAGATAGTCTTAGGGAATTGTCTAGTACAGCACTTACAGATGGAGACTCCTGCTGAAGGTTCCAGGCAGTATGAGCTAGAAGTATGACTTGACTCTTGATATTCTTGACCCAGGTGCCAGCTCTCTCTTGCTTGCCAGCTTAATGGAATGGAATGGGATGGAATGGAATGGAATGGGATGGAATGAAATGGAATGGGTAGAAGATCACACTTGATGGGAGAACTCAGATGCCTTCCAACTCTAAGATTCTAAGGCTCAGTTCCCCCATTCTGCTCCTTCTGGGCCCATTCTACCCTCACCATTTTATCTAAATGACTACCTAAAAATTGCTTTTCTATTTGTTCTCAGCAGTAAGTATAGGAATGAGAAGGGTGGGCTGTTGGGGAGGGGAGGAGGTGAGGGAACTGCTGAAGATGAACAAGTTAATTAGCTAATAAAGCTACAATCAGTGTCCCTGATGGCTCATGGTAACAGTAATTAATGTTAGATATTAGCTCAGGGAGGAGCTGGTGCTATTAAGAGGGAAAGGAGGGAGATTTCTTCCATTGCACCTCAAAGCCCCTCTCTTAGTCTGCTGAACCAACAACAACAAAGATGTTCCTCTCTGGTGCCATTTTCTCTGTGTGTATACATGGGGGGGGGGCAGAGGAGGGGGAGCTAAGAGCTGGATACAAATGCTTATAGAATGTTTGAGGTCCTGCTATATAACCCATCATACTCCATTGTAGTGGAATGGAAAGGACGTTATATTGGGGGGGAGTGAGAGGACCTGGGTTCAAATCTTCTCTCTGTCACTAGCTATATTACTTTGGGTCAGTCGCTTCCCTTCTCTAGGCCACAGTTTAAAAATGAATGCGTTGAGACCAATGACCTCTGAAACATCTTCCAAACCTAAATCTATGATCTCATGAACTGCATCTCTCCTCGGTATAATCAACAATAAATCAACAAACCAAGCTAGCATTTGTCTTACGAAGGACTAAACTATCCCCAAGTGCCCTCTGGGGAATACCTTCCAAGAAGGTTATACATCCCCTCTAGGGTTGCACCCCCTGGTCAGAGTTAGGCATGCAGCAGGGGCCCAGACATTCATTTTTACCAGGAATACACTCACATGTGTGAGAGCTGGAGAGATGCTCTCACAGCAACCCCATAAGGGAAGCCAGGCAGAGTCCTGGGAAGAGGGTGGAGGAGAGAAGGCTTCAATTTGGATGCAAATATTCTGCCATTCACTGAGTGGGAAAGCAATGTGCAGAGGAGTAACAGAACAGAGAGTTTGGGGGTGGCTACAAGAAGAATAACAATAGCACCTCAAATTTCTATTGTACCTTTCTCTGGAGGAAGCCTAAATCCCACTGGGGACAATGCTGAATTATTAGAGGAGCTCTGGAATAAGTAAGGAAAAGCTCATGGGTCAGAGAAGACCTAGGACAAGAATGAGATAATGACAGAGAAAGAATTGGTGCCTTAGATTAAATTTCTATTTCTGGTTCTCTAGCCTTTTGTGGTAGGATTAACCCAGTCAGAAGCAAGGGAGAGATTTCAGGCCTTGACTACAGATCTGG